GGGGTGGGGTGGGGTGGGGGTGGCGGCCACGATTACGGGCCGACGGGCGGGCGAACAGGCGCCTCCGGTAGCCTCCGGTGGCGATATATCACGGCCCAACTCACGGCCCGAATTGCAGGCCGGTAACGCGCTGCAGACGGCCCAGATCGCAGGCCGATCAGAAAGTTTTCTGATAGGCCTGTGATCTGGGCCGTCCGCGGCGCGTTACCGGCCTGCGATTCAGGCTGTGAGATACGACGTTTAGCAGTTCTTATAGTAGGTGTAGATGTAGATATTATAGATATAGATATAAGAGTAGTGGTTTTGTGGCAGTGACCTTTGGGCTGTTGTGATGGCAGAAGCTTGTGGTCATAGAATGGGCTGGTATTCATATAGAAGGTCAGTAAAAGCAGCGGCTGCAACGGGGGAATGCGAAACAAGAATAACAAAATGTGTGGTGCAAGCAACGTTGGTTGGTCAATCTTTATGCAAGGCTCACAAAGTTGGTTGTCCATTTCCCATTTTTGAATGCAAGTCTGTGCCAGCTGATAGTGAATAAAAAGACTCCTTGATTTGTCTGTGGAGGCCAAGACCAGGTGGGTTGCACCGGTTCCTGTCAACAATGAAGAGAGCCAAGGGTATCAAAGAGTGGCTGTCACAGCACTCGTCGCGTTTCTTCTATCTGTGACTTAGACAGTACAGAGTGGAATAGCATATGATGTTATCCTCTCTGTGACTCTCTGTGTCCCTCTCTCTGCCCCTCTCTCTGCCCCTCTCTCTGCCCCTCTCTCTGCCCCTCTCAGTCCTTCTCTCTGCCCCTCTCTCTCTCCCCTCCCTCTGTCCCTCTCTCTGTACCTGTCTGTCCCCTCTGTCCTTCTCTTCCTTCCGAGTAAGATGCATGTGGTGTGGACTACCACGTGTCAGATCAGATTGGAAGGGTTAGAATGCCACACCCATCAAGTTATCAGGAAGCCTACTGTTGTTTGATCGGACATATCCTCTCCATTTGACATCCCTGCAGAATCCGCGGATGTTTTACTCTCTGGTTTCAAGAGCCAAGGTGAGCTATATCCCTTTGGTGGAACATTTCAGCCGGTGGTCCACAAAGTATAGAACAAGATTTGGTGTGTCTGGCAGAGTGTATCAGCTCCGAACGTATTGCCTGCTGTGCATTTCCACCTCAGGCCAGACCGTTATCCTTTTTTTCTGTGTCCTTCTTTTCGCCTGAGCTTCAGGGCTGTAGCTTTCATATATGAAGGGTCAATGTCACTGGCAGTTTCAGATCAGATGAATAGGGTGAGAATGCCACGGGTCATCTGGAATTATAGGCGAGCGTAGCATAGTATGCACTGGCACATCTTCTGAACATGTCCTTTCCAGTGGCGAATGTACACCATTATCTTGTGTGCAGGTCCTGAAGAAAGTATTTATGTCTTTGTATGGAGGTTCACAGATGCAGCGAGATTTAGTGGGAAAAGTTCTGGTGTGAGGGTACCCTGAAGTCGCCTTGCTCATTGTACGGCATGCTGGCCCCCAACGGACTGTCTAGGTCTTTGTGCGGGAGTCTGCAATTGCAGCCAGACGAACTGCGGCAGGCCAACATACCTGAAGTGCACAATCAAACTATGTGGTAGGATCTCTTGTATGCATCTGATGACTATTACGCACAGATCGTGTTGGAATATCTGAGTGTGGCCTAAGTTGTCCTGTTCACCAATATCCTGACTGTGCAAGTAATAACGTCATGAGTTTAGGGTTGGGTTTAAGCTCTGTGGATCAGTGCGGGTGCCCCGGCGAGGCCGACTGGTTCTGTCTGCCTGTGTACCAGCCATGGCCGCCAGACCGGGTGGCTGTCCCCGGCAACCCCAGCGCGATGGCCGTTGCCGTGTCGCTGATGGCCCCACGGCTGATGGGTGTAGCAGGCATGAGAGCCCTCGAGCGCATGTGGATATTGAAAATCGAATGCCCACGTGCATCATGGCTGTCGATTGTCCAAGATTGATGGACGGACACGACTGGCTGTTTTTATTCGAGAAAAAGGGGCAGGTAGGGACCCTGAGAAAAAAACACCTTTTGGGCCTGGTGATGCAAAAATCATCACCAGGCCGGAAATCTTCTGATCGTGCAGTTCAAAATGCCTATGCAGGGCCCACTTTTCCGCGTTTTGACAGTCGACCACTTTTTCCTGCAAGGAAAAGAGTCCTTTGCCTTAGTTATGACCGGTTGTCAGCAGCTATGTCAAAAGATTGGTCGGTTTTGTGTGGGGGCCACTGGAATGTGGTGAAGATTTCAGAAGCTGCATTTCTGTGCACTGCTGAACAATTTGCCCCCAGTTATCTACGCGAATGTGTGCATTGAGTGCTGTGTAAAAGCACCCGTTGGGCTGTTGTCTAAGCAAGGAGGATGGAGGGGTGAACGGACAGGAAAAAAGAAGAATGAGGCGTGAAGGAAGAGGGAAAACAAACTATGGCCAAGTCTCCTGTGCGCAATGCGAAGATCTGAAGTAGCTTAGGGCATGATTCTCATACACAGGGCAAGTCCTGAAATGTGGCGGCATATTGATCTGATATGATTGTCCCATTGGGTCGTTTCCAGTCGCCCATAGCACTTCCAACAGCCCGTACCACATCAGCAGCAGTTTTCTTGAAACTACTTCCTCTTGGGCAAATTTGTCCATACCACCTGTAGGCTAGATATGCTTTCCATCTCTGAACAGGGAGGGTCTGCAATGCTCATTGCAGTCATGCTGTCGCATACCTTAAGGTGCAGACGAGAACAAGAACCGACCTGTCTCACATAGTACAAGATAGCGCAGCGGAAGGCTAATATACCAATGATCCGAACAATCAATGTTGCAATGCAGACCAAACATACATCATCATCATTCCATGGTGTGAAGGGGCGTGGCGCTCACACAGGAAGAATGTGCCAGTCCCCAACCATACACAGACGAAGAGGAGGGGGGTTAGACGAAGAAGAGGGGAAGATGGGAATGTCGTGAACACCAAGTCTTCGGTACAGGTCCCAAATAATCCCTCATCCAATGTCTCGATCCCAATGTTGAGTCTGAATCCAAATGTCGTCAAGTCCCAAAGTCACCAATCTCTCTCTCTCTCTCTCTCTCTCTCGTAGTCTGCAGATACTGAGAGGTTAGGTAGCAAGAGGGTGAGTGAGAGATGGTGGACTTAGAAGAGGAAGAAGAAGAACTCCCTCTCTCTCTCTCTCTCTCTCTCTCTCTCTCTCTCTCTCTCTCTC